ATGCCCCTGATTGTTAGTGTATATTGTGGTGGATGCGACAGGTGTTAATCCTGCATTAAAACTATCTCAAATAAAGTCGTAAACAATCTGTCATCTTTATGTGATCCATTTCTTTTCTACACGATCCTTTTCAGAAGTTGAAAAGTTATTAACCACCTGGTGCAACTCTCCCAGTCTACATCTTTTGTTGCTGGGTGCTAAAATCCGCTTCAATTTATGCGCATCGCAATCAAAATCGAAAGTTCCGCATGCGACCGATGGTGAGAAATCCGAAACATGCAAACCTGTTTATTATCCGGATATATTTAGACTCGACAAACCAATGTAAGTGTTACATTGCTTATTTGACCTGTGAGTATTTGGGTGCTTGCTTATCTTTGTCGAGGGCATACTGTTTTGTGTCACAACGACTTCTGTGAACATATCAATTCACATTTTTTTTGTTAGTAGGTAAACACTCAAGATTTTTTTCCTAAGGCACAGTAATGTACGTTATAGCTCTTATAATGTTTATCCAGATAGTTTTAAATTAGTGTTAGCTAACCAAATAACAAACTCGTTGCGTACGGCCGATTCCAAACCACGCAAATGCACAACATATTGCAAGGGTTTCATATTTTGTCTCATTAGTTCCACCGAGCAAATTTCAAGCAAAGCAACAGGGTAGCGAACAAGATCGATTCCAGTGACCCTTATACATGCCAATACACAACAATATAGACATTACTAGGGAATTTATATAAAATAAAACCTCAACACATCACATCAAACAATAAAAATTGACTTCATCATGAGATCGGAAATCGGACTCACCATCATCACACAGTTGTTTGTCCGCCCATCCAATCATCGAGATCATTCGTGACACAGTATGTGTAGGAGCAGGGTGAGATGAACCAAGGAAGCTAAAGCACCTGCAGAAAAGCAGTGAGAATTCGTTTCATCCGCCCCTGTATACCCTATAGCAGTTAGTGCAGGCCTCAGACGTTTCCATTTAAGGAGAAATTTTCTCAAAGATACACTTTTCTTTCACACGTCATTCTTGTCCGTTTAGTTTGATCGACTAGAGCTATGCCATCAATACGAACATTCTTTCATTAGTTTCATGCTAAATTCCGCTTCGTTGTCGTTAGCTGTTCATTTGCTCTCCCTGTGATATCGGTGTATCCGTTTCCCATGTTATCATAATTTTTTTGTTGTTGTTTCGTTGTTTTTGCAAATCCTAAGGTGTTAAGGACTGGTTTCGAGAACTGAATAACAGAATCTGTGACCATGGATGTAGTCCATCTACTGTCTATCGCTTTTTATGCTGTGGAAAACTCACTCCGTGTCACATTTTGCTCACCCTCAATAGTGTTCCAATCCCAACGTATTTGACCAGACATCATAAAACTATTGTCTTTAGACGTACAATTGATGATGGAATAGCACTAATATTTTTATAAAGATTCACGCTGCCTGTGATTCTGTCTGATTTCATCCAGTTGTCTCATCAGACCTGGGTAGTGCTACGTGGGCATCGGTGTTTGAACATGGAATGATCTTTGTAGATTTCCCACGGATAACTACATATCCTAATCAGACAATGAAACTAACTACATCGCTTCAATACCAACAAATGAATGTTTCCCACAGGCAATTTATGGTAGCGTCCTCCTTAAACGTGGTCGCGTGTTTGAACAGCAGATTCATTTTTTTGACAGTGAGTGAATAATGGGAGTAAACCTAGATTGGGGGTAGTTCATAGACAATGGCTGCTATGTGATTGAGTAAATGAACTGTGTTCATTGCACCATTGTAAGTCGTTTTTGTCGGTATCTTTTTATGCGCGATATTTTTTTAATACAACTTCCATTACCGAACTGGTTTTCTTCTTATATTATCCACACCTCTGAGGTTTTGATAAGGAAGGGAAAAAACGTTTTATTAATTTCTCGATCACCTTGACCCGTAATGTCGGTTTCTTTGGTTTTTCAACAAAAACTCGAAATGAGAATCCAAATGCACCTCCAGAATAGTTGTCATATCTAAAATGGGTATACAAGGGGGTGGGTGGGGTAGGAACCACGTAGTTTTCGTCAAGGTCCACTTATGTTCATAGAAAAGTTGCAATATCGGCTAGTTATATTCGACAGTAGTTTTCAACGCTATTCGCGCATTCAGTTTTGTATCATAAGAATAACGTGCTTATCTTTCTAGATTTTCAAATTTAAACCGTGCCATACCTAATTTTTTAACAGTTGGTTCTTCTTCGCTGAACAGTTGCATTTCCTGCCTTCTGAGAATTCAGTTAACATTGTACAACCATTAGTCATGAACTTCCATGCTATCTTTTGAGTGTCCAATTGAATGAAGAGATAGAAGAAGGATTGGAAAGTTGAAAAGAGAATAGGGTAATTCCAGAAGACAGGTTGAAAATAAATTGAGATGATACACGAACGGCATTGTTAACGACCTAATGATATCATTCGGTGCATCTAACCGTTGATTACAATGATCCCGAGGTCCACATCCAGTGAGCAAACCATATAACCGAGTCTCCTGGTTCGGGTTGTCATACCTTCATGCCAGGTCTCAGCTTGAACACCCTTGGATTTTTTCATTTACTACCTGCCTCGGTAAACATCGCGCACCTTGACAACCTATTTAATTATATGCGCAACGCATACCTCAACAGAAGACTGAATTTCTAATGTTTACAGGCCAATATCCGTCAGCACCGTAGAGACTCGTGTTGACCATCATGCGTTCAAACCCCATAACCATTGCTTTACTATTTCATTTTTCTTACTGTCACGTGGCAGCTCTGTTGGTGGTTGCTTCTTCCTTTCTCATAACTGCTTATATGATCAAGTGTTCAGTGACAACTATGTATAAGATCGAAAGAGCCGTAATTACTGTGTTCTATTAACTCGGTGTATCGAGACGCCATCCAAACACAGAATTTTACACAATCTAAACCTTTAGGATTTCGAAAATCGAGCCTTTGATGCTCGGAGGATTGATTAGGTTGCTAAGTTTTGCTTGTCACCAGGATTTTCTGTACAACCAGGCGATTATCGAGGCTGATAAATTATCCTGCCCTCATCCTTTGAGAAAACGGTAATCTGAAAACTGTTTTTAATTGATGGAACCGCGACTGGCTTACCATCCACCTCACCGCCAACCACCAGATATAAAATCAAAGTGCAAAATTTCCAAAAAGCTTACTCCGTCTCTGGCAGAAGATAGTCGTGAAAAAGTCAAGTATAGAAAAAGAAGATTGAGTTGGAGATGAGTACTCACATATTCTGATTTAATTTGTTCTCCACATCGTCTGTTCGTTTCATGATGAGTATATTAATGTTTTGCTTAAGTGCATCAGAACTAGTCAGTCACACTTTCGTCCACGAGAACTTCAACGGCATTCCAAAACCTGGGATTGACGCTCACTTCTGTTTTGGCTGTCGTTTACAATCTTGGAAATCAGTAAACCAAAAGTTTTCTCAGTTAAACGGTTTTTCAACCGGTTTCCGCATGATCAATCGAAGTACAGTTGTGTTCGTAATGCCATAAACCGATTATACTTACTTTTGAGTCTTGTATTTGCAGCTGGATCTCCTCACTAACCGCTCATCCTCAATCAAGAGGAATTATATGATTGTCATGTATGTAGACTCATTTGATAATCAAAAGACATTAAATTTTCCGTTCACTTTGTTATTTCTGTCACTGCCTTGGTGATGGAGTTTCATTTGGCACACCAGTCTTAATTCTCTAATCGTGGTGATACGACTGAATCCGTCAATTAACAGGCCATTGTAGCTCGCCGGACCTTGGGTGTGGTTCTGTGGTCCATTCTATATCGGTTCTTTCTCGTATCGTTTGTCATAGTCGGAATGCGTAGCGGCGGTTTAAAAGGCATCTGCTACATTAGTTTTCATATTTGCACCATTGTCAAATTCTTTGTATCGTTTTTTTTTTCGTAGCACATAATTGATTTTTTTCGGTCTCCGAATGTCTGCTTCCGTAATAAAGCTTCAGTTTGATTACAAGCCAGACTGTATCGATGGAAATATATCCAACCAAAACGTCATGGGGTCGTTGCCTGCTTGCTATTCTGAAAACGGTCTTTCATGTAGTGCCAAATTCACACTGGTCTTTTCGGTTTCAATCATCACAGCTCGCTAACGGTTTCTCACTTTGTTGTATCTTAGATTTTTTACACATATTCTTTGATGTCAGATAATCAATAAAGGAATCATTTCAAATGATTATTTCTTCTGGGGCAGATTAATTCATGGATGGCTCAAATGAATCTGGTATAGTGATGATTTCGTAACTTGCCGCTACTGCTGCGTATACCACAACAAACCGGCGTGGTTTATCTTGACTTTTTCTTTTATACTCAACAACCAACTTCTCTGTATGGATCCATACCCACTTTGGTCAATGAACGTGTGTTCCGTTCCCAGTTCCGATCATGCTTGGTTCAGTTTGGAAATATCTGCCGACTTGGAAAAATTTCCCTTGGTTAGCGAACACAAGATCCATAGCAGACAACCAGTCCCATGTCTGCTGCTCCTTTTTACGTGATATCTTATGGCATTATCGTGAAGCCACTCTAAGAATGTCTATTGTGATCTTAAGGTGCACATTTGAATGAAACACGGTGGTGCTTTTATGTCTCGCTGTTTCCTGGTTTATCTCTCTTTCTTTAATAATCCTAGATCTTCCTCAAAGAGTAGCAAACGAAAGTATTTTGACTGAGCAATGAACAACAGTTCAGTATTTCTACAAAGTTTTTATCATCGTTTGATTGGATCCTTTTTGCTGGTTGTTGAAGCCCCACAAGGTTTCAACGGTACTCATAGCAAATTTTCCGTTTACTGGTGATCAACGCGTTGATATACGATCAAGACCATTTGTTGATCGGTCTCATTGCGTTAGAATTAGACACCATTTGCTTCACCCACATCTACATTTCATTCCCTCGCACTATCACATTTCTTCCTCTCCTCTGATTGCTTGCTCTCTGAATGGGTCTGAATGCCTTGCGTCTTGTGTTGTGGAATCAAAAAGTGCGATGGTATACTCCCGAGTTATTCAATCTGGTACATATTTTCAGCACCCTTTTCGATGGCCTTTGCCATTTGACTTCCGAATAGTTGATTTCTTTTTGCGTCTACATTAATTGTTTGTTGTCATGTATTTTTCCTTGAAATCTTATTTTTCTCTGTTTATCTTTCTCCCGATCCTCAGTCAATCTGGTAACGGCGATCTATTCCAGGACGATTATGATGTGGATATCATTTTTGTTCATGGCATGCGTGGCAGCGTGTTCTACACGTGGCGTCAGAACGAGTCTCTGATCGAAGTCAACGAAATCGGCCAGTCGACTCATTCTAAATGCTGGCCTCGTGTAAGTTCCGATGTATTGTTTCATTATAAAAATAGTTTCTTTGTTCTGAATACATATCCATTTTTCCAACAGGGTCCGCTTGTTCATACTATGTTTGTGTGAAGGTTGTTTATTCCAGACCAGAATTCTTACCTGACCTCATTTCGGTGGCGTGATTTCGCCTGTTGTTCATCATGTGATTATTGGATGCCATCACAGTGTTGATGTCATACTATTGATTCCTCTTAGATTGATTTTTCCGTTGTTCGGGTCACCAATGAAGTTGTTTCGTTTTTTTTCACAAATTGTAGTGATCTGATGCAACCCGTGGTTTTCCGCTGTGCTATAAATAAGCATGCTCTAGTAACCTTAAATATAGATCAAATCAAACACCATCCAGGTGGTAAAGTATTCCGCGCCCAAATGTATATTGATTTCCATTTTGTCTCCGGATAAATGGGCATACATCATTCAGCAGTGCGTTTCCTAAGTGGCCATAGAAAGTCGATAAACCTACCGTTTCTCGCCTACTAGCGTCAGTTAGATCGAACCGGTGTCCATTGTTTTTATTCAGGTGATATCAAATCGCTTATTATTTCATCCCCCGCAACCATTCAACTTGGAGGTGCGACCTACGAACACAAGTTTAAGCTGAACACAATGTCTACATGAATGTACACACGCAAATTTATTTTTTTGTACACCATGACACTCCACAGTGATGTGTAAATCCATGTCTGTTATGCCCCGGAAAATCACGCGTTCGGAACCCCCTGGTCCATCGCTGGAACCACCCAAAATCAGAAACTGTCTAGATCATTGAGAAAGTTATATTTAAGGCGGCGAGTTGGCTTTTTTGTGAAATCTCTAGAATCTTCGGTGGATGCTCTTTGATAGACTTCCATTTATCAGAGGAATGAGCCGATTTTTAGGCAAATGTTTGCCTTACTGACAGTGACCGAATAGCGAACCTGCTTATCAACATAATAAAATAATGCGTTTGTCATTCTGGATCGGTGGCTTATATCATTTTTCAGGTTTGAATATTGGTGAAATAGATGTCAGGTGAATTCAGTTTCATGTCATTATAAATTAGTTTTCACATCGTAGATGTTTTCCCATGTAAGTCAACTCTCCCGTCTTGCGTTCCCAGTAGAACAGGTTTTTGTTCAGCGTGAACTGTCTCGAAACTCAAATGTTCGGACACCAAACTGAACGGAGGGCCAAAAAACTTAGTTCACGAATTATTCAACAAGACATTATTAGTGTTACTCTTAAGTCTGCAGGTTTTATAAATCTGCTCATATTTCTACAATATTTCGAATTACTCGAAAATCCTGTTCTGTCCGTTTCGTCAACAATCACTGATTTAGTCACTAACCAAAGGACCTAGGGATCAATCGAAACCATTCGTTTTTGAAGTCAGACTTGTTACATTGGTTTTCCTAGAAATATACCTATTGTATTTAATGCTGCTCAGTCGAATGTTTTGCGTATCTCTTTACAAATATTCCCACTGTATTAGGATTGGTTGTCATCCGACTTCCCTCGAGCTCGGGTTCTGGGTATCGACACTTCGTTATCTCCTTTCATTTGGAATCCAATTTGTCCGGTAGACCGTCTCAAGTAAGTTACTTACCATTCTTATTGCCACATTGGTACTGTTACTCATTCAATTCTGGCTGTATTGTTGCAGGAGGTAGATGAAACCATGTTTATCGGGCTCACATCTTGTCATGCAAGAGCCATTTTTCTACCATTTGTTTTGATTTTAGGTGGATAGAATTAAGCCTAGCTGTACTGATTGATCAAATAATAGGTATGCGGTGGTGAACCGAGAATGCCCTGTTTACCAATGTTCATCGATTTCGATATTTTGATGAATAATTTATTCTCCTATGAGCCAATTGAAAACCGCGTAATGGTCAGCATCATGTTCGTTGTCACACTGTTCACCATAAATTATCTAAGTTGAAACGGACGAGCTCCGTTTTCCTTTAATTCATCGATTTAGTCCTCTTAAAAGGGTTAAAGCTTGTTGTAGCATCTGGTGTTATTCACCCTTGAATACGTCTATTTATGGCAGACATTCGGTAGCCATCCCGGACCGTTTGATTGACGGTGATGTAAGGAAGAAAATACTAAAAACTTATCTAACTGGTGTAGAATACTCCTCTAGTGTACTATTTTTTGCACTCGCCCTTATCGTACCTTGTCAGGTGATCTGCGTTTGGGTGTGCACCTTGTATATCTTGGGTAAGGGTAACACTTTTGTGGTACTGTAAATTGTTTTCAAGAGCCGGTAGTTTGTTACTACATGTGACCTTGATGACTGGTTCATCTCTCACGCGTACCTTGGCTGGTGGCAGTTGATAAATTTTGACTCATCGATTATTGTTTGTGTCCCACAAAAATGCGTAGAATGCTTCGAGTCAAACGACTGATTTATTGTTACCCGTTAAAAAATTCATCCC